TTAAGTGGAGAGGAAATGTTTTGAGAACAATGAGGGCAATGAATGTACAAATGCGCTTGACACAATTGATGTATGTATGGATTGTGATGAGAGTTCTTTGAGCCCCTAATAAAATGATTTTTTTAAAAAGATCTTACAAAAAAATGATCTTAATTCACCTACTGTCATTGAGTTTATTCTGACTCATTGCAGCCCTGTGGGTCTCTGAGGCTATAAATCTTTACAGGAGCAGATAGGCCATGGTGGCCTAGTGGTTACCCTCTTTCTACTCCTCCATGGGAGGATAGGGCTTTCTATACCATAAAGAGCTACAGCCTCCGAAACCCACAGGGGCAGTTCTGCTCTGTCCTACAGGGCCGCTCAAAATCAGAGTAGACTCGATGACAGTGAGTGAACTGAGATAGTTCTTTAAAGAGCAAAAGGTTCAAGGCAGACCTTTTTAGCCCATTTAGTTTTACCAGTGAATAATGAGCCCTAGTGGGAAACTGCTGCTAAATGAAAGGTTGTCGGTTCAAACCCACTCAAGTGACTCTGTAGGGACAGCTCTGGGAATCAGCTGAAGGCGATCTATAATAGTGGAGAAGAGGGTTAAGCACTGGCTAACTGCAAGGTCAGCAGTTAAAACCCACCAGCCATTCTGTGGAGAAAATCACAGCTGTCTGCTTCTGTAATGGTTTACCCTCTCGGGAACCCCAAGGAGCAGTTCTACTCTGCCCTCAGGGGCTGCTCTGAGACAGAGGGGACTGCAGCGGCAACAGGTTTAGAGCTGACCTGAAGGCGGTGGGCCATTACACTATGCTGCTATTCTAGGTCCTCCTAGAATTCATGGGAACACGACTCTATGTCACACTGCTAATCATCCCCTTACTTTCCAGTTGCATCTGGGTTGGTTGGAGGTATAGAAATTCATCGTAGCAGAATAGACTGCCCTCCAAAATAGGCTACTGTCTGCAGAACTTGAGGATATAAACTGCCCCCCCTTTCTTTACACGCTTAACTGACGCCCACTCCACATTGACAGCAGCACCAGGGGAATCTAGGAAGCCCAGAAAACTGCACGCTCTGAAAACTGCTGTTTCTTGTTTTGTATCATCATCTCCAGAAGACACGCTGCCACGCATGGAAACTGCACAGCTTTGAACTGTGTCTGTTGGTGCCTTTTGGGATCTCATGGTGACGCCTACGCTGGAGAAGAGGAACAAGTTGAAAGGTAGACTGTCAACTGTTAAATACATTTTAAAATGAGAGTAATCATTTAGTCACACCAATGCATAAAACATGAGTGTATCCTGGGTGCCTTTCAAAGTTCCATCATTCACGAGAATGACGGTGCTGAAGGACCGCCAGAAGAACGTACAGATCTGTCTCGGAAGAAGTACAGTCAGAATGCTTCTTCGAAGCCAAGATGTGTGACCTCGTCTCACATACTATGGACATGTTACCAGGAGAGACCAGTCCCTGGAAAAGGACAGAGCAGAGCAGTGAAAAAGAAGACCACCCAGGGGATGGCTTGCCAGTGGCTGCGCAAGGCGCCAACCAAACACCAATGGTGAGCGTGGCGGCGGACAGAGCAGTGCTGCCTTCTGTTGTCCATAAAGATCAGTCAGAACTGACAACAACTTGGGTCGGCAAGGCCGTTAATACAAATGTCTCAGCTATTCCAAAAGCTCTGAATCCAACTACAGTCTCAGTAACCTTATTACTCAAATCCAAAGAATTGTAATGCTTCTCCCACGCACCTGGGAAGTCTGGGCCTTTTTTCTATTCTTAGAGTATTTCTGGGAATTCCCCATGTTTTACACACGTATGTGTCATGTGTCAGCCCTTCACTAGTCACTATCATTGGCCATGACTCACTCCTCGGAGGTGGCAGTCAGTCACCATTGTTCAATGTCACCCCTGCCAATTCCCCATGCAATCATAATCTTTGGAATTTATAGGATTCTCTACCACTATATCAATATAACGATTAATATTCAACACTTAAGGAAAGATTGATGAACCTGCTTCTAAAATGTCACAGCCATGTGCGTTCGAGAGACAGCTCTATTCTGCAACGTGCGCAGTTGCCGTGAGTCAGAATCTACCAGGGATCATCTGGAAATGGCTGATAACATTTTAGTATGCATTATTAGTTCACTTAACATTCACAACAACAGAATGAGTTAAGTACACTTATTAGTTCTACTTTACAGATAGCATTAGCCCCTTCCCTCTGTGCTAAGCTCAGCGAGGAAGCCAACGCCCTTTTGCTCCCCAACATCATCAAACTTGGAGCAAAACTCCATTAATGGTCATACACAATATCTCCCTTTCCCCTGGACTTTCAAAGGCCCAGAACTCCTACATGGTTCTGTTCGAATGTCTAATTTACCAAGCAAGACACTTCCCTCATGGTCAATTTTTCTCTCTGGGATTTGAGGGAGCCTTGGTGGCATAGTGGATTAGGAGTTAAGGTCAGCAGTTTGAAACCACTAGCTGCTCTGAGGGAAAAAGACGAGGTTGTCTACTCCATAGAGTGACAGTCTTGAAGCCCCAGAGAGGCACTTTACTCTCTCTTATGGGACTGATATGAGCCGGATGGCAGTGGTGGGCTTTCGGTTCCTACACTTAGTCTCAGCTTGTCCCAACCAGGGTGGCAGTCAGAAACATCTGCCTGTAGCTGAATTACTGCAAAGGTTAAGTGCTCGGCTGTGAGTTGAAAGGGTGGCAGTTTAAACCCACCACCAGCAGCTCAGCAGGAGAAACACACGGGGGGTGCTCCCATAAAGATCCCACCCTATGGGCAATCCTCATCTGTCACATGGGGTTGCTAGGAGTCGTAATAAACGCAACAGCAGACAGTGGCTGGTTTTTAAAGCCTGCCAGGCCTTTTTGCAACTAGCCCCACTTACTCTGGAAGCTTTCCAGCATCACAGCACCACGCAGGCCCCAGTGACAGTGGATGTGGTGGCCGTCCATAAAGCTGCACTGGGCCAGGAACAAAGAATGGAGCTAAGTAAGAATTCTGCCCCAGAGCCCCCACGGCCTTTTAGTATTTATGCTGGACTGAAACTGTCTTTATTGTTTGTCATCGTCCTTCTCCTTTCATGTCATCCCCGTAAGGGCAGGGGACTCTTTTGAGTCCCTTGACCACTGCAATCCCACAATCTAGAGCGCCAAGCAGATGGCACGGTTCGGGGCTGCCCAGTAGGTCCTGGCTCCCAGGGACTCTGTGGACGACAGAACGAAAGCAAACCACTGCCCGCCCTGAGCACTCGGGCAGCTGTGAGTTTGAGCCCACTGTTGCAGCCAAGGGGCTCAAAAAAGCATACAGGAGTGAAGTAAACATTAATTTCATGAATAAATGTATCCTTTCCAAATCCCACTTTTTCTTAACTCTGTTTTCCTCCTGTCAACATTTATTTCTTAAATTAACTCAATATTTCATCCCTGATGCCCATAAATCTTTCATTTCACAGAGGCCTGTTTTGTCAGAGGTGGGAGAAAGCACACCTGTCGTTGAAAATTGATCAGCAAAGCCCTGGTGATGCAGTGGTTACGTGTAGGGTTACGGCCGTGGACAGCCACACAGTGTCACTGTGAGTTGGCACTGACTCCATGGTAGTGAGATTGGCTTCAATTTGGTTACGCTACTACAACAGACTGAATACGTTTACCTATATTAATTAACCCCTGGAATTTTCAAACCACTTCCTCAACTCCTAGTGCCCTGAACTTCACAAATCATCTCAAATACCAAAATTTTTGAACCTCCTTGGAGCACTGGACTTTTCAAGTCTGGAAGGGGACACGTGGCGGGGAAACCTGGTTCACTCCATTCGTCCTGGTCCTTGCCTTACAGGGTGACGAGGCCGTGTGCCGTGCGAGTCATGACCATCAGCTTGTCTCTCCTGCTTTCAGTGGCACCTACAATCCTCCAAGACTTCCAAAGATAACGTCCTAGCTAATTTTTCACCCCTTATCACACCTTTTGCTTGTTCTCATTTAAGATGAACATATAGCCTATTTAATACAGTGAAAACTTCTTTTAACTGTGAAGTCAGAAATACTCCTTTTTCATATAATTTTTCCCAACAGCCTGCAAATTCTAAACCAAAGCCACCAGGCAACATGAGGCAAGATCACAGGCAATAAAAGTAAAGAATAAAGACAACACCCTCAAATAAAGGTCTAACTTTGGTAAAATACAGTTACTTGATGTTTTTCTTCAAGGTTTTCTCTAGGTTCTTCACTTGCTGTTTATAAAGCCGCAAATCATGCTGTGAGGGCCTGCAGAAAATAAACCATGTTGAAGGCATTGCAATGTATGGAATAAAGCAATAAAAATATGTAATAAGTAACACAGCATACTTTGTTACTTTGTCAGAAATGCTCAAATTCTTATTAAAATTCTTAAAATATTCCATGACTCCTAGTGAAGGTATGTCTTGACTAATCATTTAGATCCCTCTTCTGTGGAGTTCCTGTTCAAATCTTAACCCAACTTTGTTGCTGGTAATCTTTCACTCTTTTTAATAGTGACATATTTCAGATATACACATAGGACCGAGAACATTAAACAAATGCTAGCCTATCTACGCCCACTCGCTTTAACAACACATTGTTTCAAATGACTGTTCAATATAAAACGTGACAGGTATATTTATACTCCCTGGGTCTCACATTATGCTCTGATTCCAGTGCTCATTATGCACATGCAGGTTACAACTTCTGCTACAGGTTCACCTAACCAGAATCTTCCATGTGACGGGGTGACAGGCTTTACACAGACAGCTAAGGTAAGTTCCAAGGAGCCCTGGTGGTACAGGCGGTTAAGCACTGGGCTGCTAACCACAAGGTGGCAGTGTGAAACCATGAGCTGCCCCGTGGAGATGAAGCCTCGGGAAGGAGGGGCAATGTCAGGAACTCACAGGAGCAGGTTACCGGTCCGACAGGGCTCCTGTGAGTCGGCATCGACTCGATGCCAGTGAGTTTGGTGGGACTTTGCTTGACCAGTCGCAGTCCCCTCTCCACTAAATTTCCCTCCATAAGAACAGGAGTTGGCGTTAATCACTGTGTGGTCTCAGAGCTTGGACAGAGCCTACATTATAAGAGGTATTCAACAAGTATTTGCTGAATGCAGAAACAAAGCCTCCACAGTGTCTCTTCTTTACAACATGCAGGGGGCCATCCTTTTGATCTACAGATTGAACTGTGTTCCCCAAAAAAGATTGGTTGAAGTCCTAACCTCTGCGCCTGTGAATGTGCCTGTGGTAGTTACATAACCTGGTGTCAACTTGAGAATATTAAGAGTGAAGGGGTGGAGTTCAGTCTGTCAATCAGGTGGCATCTTGATGAACTCATTTGGAGGCACAATGGAGATAAATAGCTCAATGGTGGCCAGAGACACACACTCTGCTACACATTCCTGTTGACAAGCCACATGGAGCTACGCTGATGGAGCCAGAGCCTTGGAGCTGGAGGAGCCACATGGAGAACCACACCAGCACTGAGTTGCCTCCACCACCACTGGATCCACAAGACTTTCCACCCAGTGGCCTGTGATCTTTGTGCATTCGGCGTCATTACATGTGTTGTGTGAATCTGAAGAGGAACTTATACACTAGTATCAGACATATGGGCTAATATCGGGCATCTGGACTTGAACTGGACTGGGCTGGGATGTTTTCTTAATATACAATACTCTTTTATATAAAGCTTTCTTATATACATGAATGTCTATGAATTTGTTTCTCTAGTCAACCCGGACTAACACAGTACCCTTGTTTGGAAACCGGTTCTTTCGTTAAAGATGCTGTTAGTTAATGAAGGCACAATTCCTTCAGCGTGGCCTGAATTATCAAAGAAGGGGGCATTCAGGGAGATAAGAAATACATCGAGGGAAGATGCCACATGATGACAGAGCCACAAACCTACAATGGGAAGAAACACGTGGGGCTTCCAGAAGCTTGAAGACGGGGAAGGCTCTCCTCTAGAGTGAACAGAGAGAGAGTGGCTGACCAGTGCCCTGTATTTGGACTCCCTCTCTCCAGAACTGTGAGACCACACATTTTTGTTTTTTACAGCCACCTGCTTAGTGGTATTTTATAACTAAGGCAACTATATAAATATACCTTCCTGTTGTGTGGTATATAAATATACCTTCCCTTTTCCTCTCCTGGACCACCAAGATTAAACAAGAGGACATTCTAAAACAGTTGTGGAGACAGGTGGTAAAGGACTGGATCTACTCCGAGTTTCCACCGGACTCTCTTCTTTCGTTGACACCCATTTCCTCACCTCCCTTGACTCCCTGTGTGCTCCTGCTCCTTCTGCCCTAGGTCACAACCCCGAGGAAAGCGAGCCACGGGCACAGGACCTGAAGATTCATTTAATAGCGAGGGAGGGGAATGATCCACTTAATGTTTCCAAGCCCAGCATGAGTTTACTTTAACAAGGACAAAGAAGGTTCTTAAACTCCTCTCACCTGGCTTCCAAGTCCTTCTGGAGGTTCAGCTTTTCACTTAAAAGCACATCAATCTTGGACTGAGATTCCTGGAGCTGGTTCTGCAACGTCTGCAACAGATTTCACACAAGAAAGGGTTCAGTGCCCGGAGTCACCATCACGTTCCTTCACACGAGAGTGCTTTATCAGTCTTGCAGTCCCTTTACCATTAGGAGGCCTTTGTAGCTTGGGGAGGCATCTAGACTTGAGTAGTCCTTTTCTTCTTCTGACTGGCTTTCATCTTCTTTACACGGTCTATGAAAAGATACATGCAGTATATTTCCTATGAAAAGTTGATCTTCAAAGAAAACAACCTTGACAACAATAAAACACAAGCAATGAAAACATTGTGCTATGTGAAAGCAGCAGTCATAGGTATGATTCCGCATGTGAAATATCTAAACTGTTTCTAGGCAAATCCACAGAAACAGAAAGTAGATCAGATTTGTGGTAGACCAGAGATTAGAGGATGAAGAGAGAGGGAAGGGGTGAGGGCTTTTAATTGCGATGATCAATATGTTTGAAAATTAACAATAGTAATAGTCACACAATGGTATAAAAAATGTAAAACCCACGCAACTGTATACTTTAAGAAGGTGAATTTTATAGTATGTGATTTATACCTCAATAAAACTGTTATCTGCACTGGGCAAGTCTTCTACAAAAGACCTCTTTAAAGTGTTCAAAAGCAAAGCTAGCACTGGGAGGACGGACTATGAGGCCCCTGGCTCTCTTCCCAGTGTTTACGATCACTTGCTGCGCATGCAAAAGCTGGCCACGAATGAGGAAGGCTGCAGAAGAATTGATGCACACACACTGTAAGAACAAACGAACCCGTTTTTGAAGAAGTCCGGTCAGAATGTTTAGAAGTAAAGACGGCAAGACATACTTTGGATATATTATTTTTTATAAGGGACAAGTCTCGGGTCAAGGACATTGTGGTGATGTGAAGTTACTTGGTATGACTCTTTGATCCCCAGTCTTTGTAACTTGTGCTCAGTGACAGGGTAGGAACATGCAAATAAGGTGTAGAAGATTCTAGCTCAAGCATTGGCCCGTTTTGCCATTCTGCTGGGTGTAAGAGTGAGCTATCGTACAAGGAGGAACAGAGAGTAACTGGGAGGTTCTTGCTTGACATGGCAGGGGCAGCAGAGCCTGCAGGACCAGGTCCAGGAGACAAAGCTGGTAGATTTCACAGCCCACAGAAATGGAAAGCTGGGTATCTTTGGGCAGGAGACTAGCTTACCTTGCAGAGTGATGTGCCCTTTGAGCATGTATCAGTGCTAAGAGGGTTTGGGTGGCATGGGTTATACAATGGACTTTTTACTGCAAGATTAGCTGTTAGAAACTATCAGGAGAAAGATGAGGATTTCATTCTATGATGCTCACCTTCCAGACAAAACCGCTGAAGACAAAGCAGGTGAATAAGCAAGTGTGGTGAAGAAAGCTGATGGTGCCCGGCTATCGAAAGATATAGCATCTGGGGTCTTAAAAGTTGAAGGTAAACATGCGGCCATCTAGCTCAGAATCAACAAAGCCCACATGGAACAACATATCAGCCTGTGTGATCACGGGGTG